TACTTGATGTAAGCTACCTAAACTTGGCAGTCCTGTCCTCCCTACACACTGGAGCCATTTAAAAATAGATTCTTTGATTCCTTCAGATTATCTGGCTATTCATCTACTAACAATAATAATGTCTACTCAGTAAAAATCAACTCCGTGGATTCCTAACACCTTCACACTTACCAGTGTCTGTTATTACATTTGTAAGTGCTTACAAAGAAAATAAATGAAAATTCCTACAAAAAATAGAAAGCAGAGATTTGTGAACAGCAGAAACCAAAATGATAAATTGTGGAATGCATAAAGTTAACTAAAGTAAATTATACTAGGTGCGGCGCTAAAGCACAACAAAAAAAAAATCAAGGCTCCGTTAACAATTAATCGCTTGCGTTTTCAAAACACTGTGCAAAAATGACAGATCACGGAACTGCGTGTTCAGTGTTGTCGTGTGATAAATTGCACTGCAATTGCAGCACATCGCTTCATGCGACACGTTAAGGAAGGTCTTTTGAGCGACACGTGTCACGCAATGTGATTTATTGCTTGACAATCACAGCAGAACCGAACCATGTTTTCAAGTGCCATTAAAAATAATGGCACCTGAACACGCAGTTCCATTATCTGTCATTATAGCAGAGCGTTTTTACATCCCGAGCTGAATCTTGGCGATTTTACCCGCGATTCAAAACACCATAGTGTTAATGGGGCCTAAAAGTATTTATAATCCTCCTTCTATGCCTTTACAGTTGTGTCCAAAATTATTCAACCCCCACTGAAATTGAGTGTTTTGGCCAGTTTGACATTGCTTTTGATCATTCAGTCATCTTGCTTACATTTACATTAAAGAGGCACTTGTAGGTCAGACAAATATAACATAACAGTTATAATGAATGAAATAACCACAAATGTCTTTTCTGTGCTCACAGCATTATCAGTTTTATTCAACCCCCAAGTGACATTCAATCTTAGTACTTAGTACAGCATCCTTTTACAGTTATAACAGCTTTTAAACGTGAAGCATAGCTTGACACAAGTGTCTTGCAGCGATCTACGGGTATCTTCGCCCATTCTTCATGGGCAAAGGCCTCCAGTTCAGTCACATTCTTAGGCTTGCGCACTGCAACTGCTTTCTTTAAGTCCCACCAGAGGTTCTCAATCGGATTTAAGTCTGGTGACTGCGATGGCCACTCCAAAATGTTCCAGCCTTTCCTCTGCAACCATGCTCTAGTGGACTTGGAGGTATGCTTGGGATCATTGTCCTGTTGAAAGGTCCAACGTCTCCCAAGCCTCAGGTGTGTGACGGACTGCATCACGTTTCCATCCAATATCTCCTGGTACTGAAGAGAATTCATGGTACCTTGCACACGCTGAAGCTTCCCTGTACCTGCAGAAGCAAAACAGCCCCAAAGCATGATTGACCCTCCACCATGCTTCACAGTAGGCAAGGTGTTCTTTTCATCATAGGCCTTGTTCTTCCTCCTCCAAACATAGCGTTGATCCATGGGCCCAAACAGTTCTAATTTTGTTTCATCAGTCCACAGAACACTATCCCACAACTTTTGTGGTTTGTCCACATGGCTTTTGGCATACTGCAGTCGACTCTTCTTATTCTTTGGAGACAGCAAGGGGGTACGCCTGGGAGTTCTGGCACGGAGGCCTTCATTACGCAGTGTGCGTCTTATTGTCTGGGCTGAAACTTCTGTACCCACATCTGACAAATCTTTTCTCAGTTCCTCAGCAGTCACACGGGGACTTCTCTCCACTCTACGCTTCAGGTAGCGCACAGCAGTCGAAGTCAGCATCTCTTCTTTCTGCCACGACCAGGTAGCGTTTCAACAGTGCCCTTTGCCTTGAATTTGCGAATGATGCTTCCTAAGGTGTCTCTTGGTATGTTTAACATCTTTGCAATCTTCTTATAGCCATTGCCCTTCCTGTGAAGAGAAATCACCTCTTCTCTTGTCTTCCTGACCATTCTCTTGCCTTCACCATGTTGTAACCACACCAGTAAATGTCTAGAAGGAGCTGAGTATCACAGTCATTTTAAAGCTGCCTAATTGGTGCTTATTATGCTTGATGCTGCTCGGTGACATCCACAGGTGTTTTCAATACCTGATGGAAAGCACCTGTATGAACCTCTGTTCTTCAGAGTGGTAGTCTTTAAGGGGTTGAATAATTGTGGCAATGAAGAAACCACATAAGAACCATTTACTACTGTATTACATAAACAATTGATGTCATTTTAGTTGCATTTGGGTAGTTACAACGTCCTTGTAGGATTTGATTCTGAATACAATTCCAAATGTACACTATAGTCCCTAAACCCCTTTACAGCATTGGGGGTTGAATAATTTTGGACACAACTGTAAATCCAATGGATAAAGTGCCAGTGCTATATCCAATAGATCAGTAATAGGGCTGTAAACAATCCACAGTTTAAACAAAAGTGTGAATGGGGCCTAAGAGTATTTATAAATCTTCCTTCTATGCCTTTAAATCCAATGCATAAAGTGCTAATGCTATAGCCAATATATCAGTAATAATGCTGTAAACAATCCACAGTGTAAACAAAAAATTATACAATAAACCATAAATAAATGTCCTCCCAAAGTCCTATATACAGTATAAGAGCACTGATGCAAGCAATATGCTGTGATCAGTCCTCTGTACAAACCAATAAAGTGCTTTTCCAAATGTCTGTGCTTGCTGATCTTTATTTTCTCCACATCTGTCACCCACAAAAACCAGAAAGTACCTGTGCCTATCCCCCTTGTGAGTAGCACTCACCAAATAATGGTAAACCCCTTATGTTGAATAAGAAGGTATGAAGCACTTTACATAGGCTTTCCTTCCACCAGACATCTTCCTCGTATACTCCTCAGGAGGTACCTTTTAATCACCGATTCAACTTCCAATCCCACTCAGGTTCAAGAGATCAAAGAGTAACCCACAAAAATGTAATTCAATGAATTAACTGAAAAAAGCAATTGCTGCACACACAGGGTTCATATATTGATACAGCTTCTGAGATATCCAATGGCACCTTCACGCCTGGTAAAATAGACATGCACTCAACCGACCGGATGTCAGAGGAAGTGATGCCAAGAGCGTGGCTCCTCCCAATACATTTCGCCTGCGTAACGTCTTCAAGTGATTGGTAAAACTATATAGATCGGATTAAAACTGAAGTTTAGCTGAAAAAAACAACAACAAACATTCTCTATGGCTTTAGTGAAACCTAATTTACCACTAATTAAGTATTTCCCATGTCATGCAGGCAGCTGGATCCTGTAGAAATCTTCACTACAGGGATGCTCTGTCCTCTTCCTGCTTGTTTTTTGGTGCTGTGATAGTTACAACTTTTGATGTTCTGTGAAGCTGCTGTGAAAAGGTTTCTGAAGAGGTTACACCACCTACTCCCTCCTCCTTCACTGAGGAAAAAAAAAATATTCATTGCTTTCACTGCCTTTAACATGTTCTGTTGATGGGAGAGAACCTTTGGATTCTCTCCCAATTCACAGATGATGTTACAGTATATGAAAGAAATGAAAGAATATTTGTCAATGGAGGAGAAAGACAGAGGGGGTGGGACCCCATCAGGAACTTTTCACGGCAGCTTCACAGGAGACCACAAACTATATACCCCCACAGTGCTGGAAATTCAGACAGAAAGAGGGCGGAGCATCCCTGCAGTGCAGATTTCTCCAGGACCCAGAAATCTGCACAAGGAGCAGCATCTTTCATTACACAAAGACAATATAATAAAAGATGCGTTATATCTACCTCAATATAACAGATACAACAAAATAAATTTAAAAAAATAGTGAATATTTTGTAAAAACTACAAATTCATATATATACTGTATTTAAAGTGCAAATAATTAAAGCGCACAAAAGTGTCCTTATACTATGTCTATTTGACAAAAAGTCTACCATTTCAGATGTGCTTCACTTAAATCATAAATACCTAACACATAAATGAATAAATGTAAAAATACACATATACTACATACGAAACTGAAGTGTCAAGTAGTATTCCACACAGGCTAAAAACTGCATTAGTGCTGTGTCCACAGTAAGATAAATAATAGTGCTTTTCTGATCCCCTTTGGACAGTTTTCATTCATCAAAATTGATGGGCCTTAATATAATAGGTTCAACAGCACATGAAAACAACATAGGCACAACTGTCCTCCACAGTCTAGAGATACGCAGAATTAAAAAGAAATAAAAACAGGGGGGAGCTTAATAAATACAAAGCATGAATACACTTGCATTTATGGGTGCTCTATATATCTCAGCATAACAAATAATAGCTCAATCTCTCAGAGAACCACCACCACTCCACATAAATTAGGGTTGTCAAACTGGTGGCCCTCCAGCTGTTGCAAAACTACAAGTCCCATCATGCCTCTGCCTTTGGGAGTCATGCTTGTAACTGTCAATCTTGCAATGCCTCATGGGACTTGGAGTTTGGCAACAGCTGGAAGACCGCCAGTGTGACACCTGTGGATTACATGGTAGCCAGCATGCATTCCACAGTGGTTTATGGTCAGAAGTCTGGTCCCCGGAACTGACGTCAGAAATGAAAACGACACACACCAATGCCTTTTTCAGAATTGCCACCATCAGAAGGTGGACTATTGCAACATACTCCCTTCCCTTATGAAGTTATGCATTGCTGACATCACTTTCAGGTACCAAACTTCAGGTAACCACTGACTATCATCTCAATGTGGCTGTACTGGTCCTCCCCCCATTTATTATATGCCAGGCTGCATGTTATTTCCCAGTGACTCGTGAGATGGGGAAACAGCTCTCATTATTTGAACACTGTTTGTGTGGAAGTAAATTAATGTTTTGACTGACATTCTGCGGTTTAGCCACAAGATGTCACTGTTTTTCTAACAGCCTCAGACTGCATAGATATTTGTATATTCATGAAGAGGTGGGGTTTTGCACACAGAGTTGGAGAGAACAGGAAGGAGAGAGAGAAGCCATGTTTTGGAGCATGGTGAATAAGGGGCTGTGTGAGCTGAGAATTTGATGACATCCAGGTGTGAGAGCGTCCCTCAGTAACCAGAGCTGCAGCTGAGTGAAGCTAATGAGATTGCTGCCAGGAAGCTGATGAGATTGCTGCCAGGAACGCTGATGAGATTGCTGTCAGGAATCTGACGAGATTTCTGCCAGGAATGCTGATGAGATTGCTGCCAGGAAGGCTGATGAGATTGCTGCCAGGAAGGCTGATGAGATTGCTGTCAGGAATGCTGATGAGATTGCTGCCAGGAAGGCTGATGAGAGCAGAGGAACTAAGCAACATATATGGTGAGACTGCATGCTTGTTGGAAAGACATTTGTTCTGTTCAGAGTCACCAGCGGATGCAAAGCAGACCCGGGTCGGTAAGATCGTGCACACACCTCATTTCAGTGTTGGCGCCTTGAGACTGAGTCCAGGCCTATAGTTAGTGTCTCTGTTTGTGTCAGGCCACAAGTGGTGTTACTGATTATTGGAAGGACTCCACAACTTAAATTGACATTTCACATTGGAGAGCTGATAAAATCCTACAAACTCAAGCCAGACTGGCATTTTGCTCAGAAGGAATACTCAGGCACGTGCTACAGGACCAGTTATGGGAGGGGGAATACTGTAGATTTGTGTAAGATTGTAAGCTGTTGTGCTGCACCACAGGCTAGCCCATACCGTACACCCATACACTGATTCCTGCTCTTTTAGGGTAATAACAGGAAAGGTGTGGCAGCTTATTTGTGCCCTCCAGTAGGTAAATTACTTCACTTTCTACCTTCATCCATCAGGAGGCGTCGTGCTGTGCAGCACAAGGGTCTCTCAGCCTTTGGGCTGGGTGTATGTAAATTTATTGTATGTTTCCAGCATTTGTGGTTGTGTTTATTTGCCACATCTAAGTAAAATTCTGTTGTGGCAAAAGCTGGTGTTGGGGTTGCTTTCCTCATTCGTGACTTCACTGTATCCTGGGGAGCCCACCCCTGGTACACGGCTTACAGACTGAAGATGCTTTTTATACTAATTTAAAATGCAGCTGCACATTTAATCAAGACGTTGTCAGCGTCCACCATTTTCCCTATAGCACAGAGAAGCACCTACACACCACAGCAAAATTGTCCAGTTCCAAATGTTCTGTGTGCACAGGGTCTTTCTATTGGGGGGAACTGATAACTTTTAGATTAAACATGCACCTACATTGTAAGAAGGAGAGTAAAGGAATTGAGCTGCAGAATTCTGCATGAGACATTGCTGTTGCAGAAAAGAACGCACAACAGTTAATGAACTGCTGCATATCAGATTGTTCATTTTAAAGCATGGATATTAAAGTTGGCAGTTGGGAGCAATGAGAAATATCTGGCATGTCTGGATATGAGAAAACTTGTCACTGACTTTCTCTTTCTCCCACCTGACAGCCCTGTTAAAGAAAGCAAGTAAGAAGTCTTTAGCACCCATGTAACTTCCAAGTAGAGACTATCCTGTGCAGTACTGGCATCAGTGTAGGTGCATGACTGTTTCTATGAACAATAATGTAAGGGACTGTCAATGTTGTAGCATTTCTATTCCCTCTGAGACCCTATATGCTATGTTGTATGTTAAATTATTCTGGCCATCACACTCTAACACTATGTTATTGTAGCACTCTCCTAGTTAGCTAGGGGGAGCTCTAGCTCAATTATTAGCAAGGAGGGCTGAGTAGCAGTCTGGGTGTGATAGCCAGGTGGGTCAAATTGCAGTCAGAGCCGAGAGGCTCTGCAGACCAGCTATCTGGGAGTTCCACCTGCTCTGGAACTTTGGAGAAAGATCTAGAAGCAGTGGGCGGTGGTGAGGAGTTGCTGGTCTGTCCCCAACAGGAGGCTTGGAAAGTGGCCAGGACATCCTTTAGGAGTAAATCTATGCTGGACGAGGGTGAATTGCTGAATCTAAAATATAACCTTTATTCAAATATATAAAATGTATGCTCAGCTGTAATTAATGCCAATTGGAGTGGAATGTACTGCACACAATATGGCTGGATACCACTAAAATTATTTACCTAATATCCAAATGGTTAATAACACCAGACCAAATCAAATACCATACCGTTTTAGATGAAGTGGCGGCATAAAAAGAGACACTGTAGTTTGATAATAAGCCTATCAGCTTGAATATATAATCTCTATTAAGGAAATGGAGTTACCCCATGGACAAAACTAATTAGATAGTATAATCTGTCTTGCTACAGATATGTAATATGGGCACACTCATCCTAAATGTCAGCTTCTCATGGACAAGCCCCATACATCACCATATCCAGACCAAAATACCTCACTGTCTTGAGGAATGCAAATGATGCACTGTAAAATGCAGTACAGACCTTTCAAAAAAAAAGGGGGGGGGAGGAGTGAATACCATGTGCATTCAAAAAGTGCTCCCAAAGAAAGACCCAAAGAAAAAAAAGAAACTCTACATGTTTCGCTCCTAAAAACAGAGCTTCGTCAAGAGTATAAAGAAATAAAATAGGTCACATAGTGGCTGGAAGTTGTGCTTAGCTTCACGTGGTGGCAAAATGGCACCTATCGTTTGTTTCACCTCTGTATATAGAGATGCTGGCCATCAAAATGGCCCCCACACATGCTCAGTTCCTCAACAGACGCCATCTTGTGGACAAAACCTGCACATGCTTAGTACCTCAAAAGACGCCATCTTGTGGACAAAAAACAGCACCACAGCAGCACTTCAGTCCACAACACAATAGACACTGCTGGTGCTCTCAAACACTGCTAATGCGCCACTAGTTAAGGACCAAAATTACAGTTCATACCATTATATAGCATTTATGGAGCAAAATCAAACAAAAAGCACAGAATCCCTAAACACACACAAAAGGAAGAAAGGTAAATCCTTCATTTTTTTTTTTTTTTTAATTCAAATATTTATTAATTTTTCATATTTATAAATACATATAAAAAGAGGAAAAGGAAAGAAGAACATAACAATACATATCTTCAACAATCTCATATAACATATAAAATTCTTAATCCTATCTCCTTCTATTTCCCCCTTTTTATATCCCTTCCCTCCACCCCTACGCCCTACCACGTCCCACCACCCTCCCACTCTGCATTTCTCTCTTACATCCTTCCTTATAAAATCAAGAAACTTCTCTTATCATTTCCCATTGCTTCACATATATTCGTTTGATGTACAAATTCTTCCCATTTCTCCCATCTCCTATTATATATCTCCATCTTGTCTTCTTGGATATAGTACAATTTCTCCATCCTACTAATCTGATTTACTCTCTCTACCCAATCCTTTTCTCTCTGCACCTCTAAACTATGCGAAAATTTAGGTATCAAACCCTTTGCTGCATTCACATAGTACCATATACCCAAATCTTTGTATTTATTCACTGGTAGCTCTGTTTTATGTAATAAGCACACTTCTGGATCTAATCCTATCTTTATTCCTGCGATTTTCTTTATTAAGTTGACCGTTGTTTCCCAAAAACTTTGAATCATTGGGCACTCCCACCATATATGAAACCACGTACCAATCTTTCCACATCCCCGCCAGCACTCTTGTGTTCTCTCTACACCCATTTTGTGTTCAACCGTCGCTGTGATGTGCCATCTTACCAAACACTTATAATTTACCTCCACCTCTCTCATGCTGATGTTTTCATGTGTAAGTCTATATATTTTCCTCTGTTTATCCTCATCTATCTCTATCCCCAAATCCTTTTCCCATTTTTCTATGTATATTGGTTTTACTTCCGTGACTAACTCAGTGAGAATCTTATAGATTTTTGCCGTACCCCGTTTCCCATCTCCCCGTGATTCCAACAACCTCTCAAACAAATTCCACTCCTTTCTCCCTCTCATGGGTTTCGGAAGACCCTCGACAAAGTGTTTTAATTGGTGATATTTCCACTCATCAATCTTAAAAAAAAAGTTCCCCTCCACCTTTCTTTAAATCCTTCAATGTTTTCAATTTCTGTCCATCCATAATATCCCTTAGTTGAATGTCTTCCTTTTTAATCCATTTTCCCACACTCCCCTCTATGCCTGGTGGAAAATACTCCATATTCCTTAGTGACATTAATTGTGAGTTAAAATACCATTTCATACACTGTAAATTATCCCACACCTTTAAAACATTCAGTGTATACACACTCGTGGTATCTTTTAAACCTCTATATTGTGCTGGTGCCCATATGTTTCTACTCAGATCGACTCCACTCAGATTATTCTCTATCTTAACCCACCTTTTCCCCCCTATATTGTGTGTCCAATCATAAATTCTTGTTAGAACTACAGCATTATAGTATCTCTTGAAATCTGGTACTCCCAATCCCCCTCTCTCTTTACTTCTACTCATCAGATCATAGGATATTCTAGATTTTTTATTTTTCCATATAAATTTTATTATCTTTTTAATTTCTTTAAAAAAGGCCTCTGGGAGTCTAATTGGGATCATCTGAAATTTATACAAGACTTTGGGTACAATTATCATTTTTATCAGATTTATACGTCCTAACCAAGAGGGGATTCCTCCTCCCAGTTTCTTCAGTTCCTCCTTGATCTCATTTAGAAGAGCAATATAATTTAATTTATACAATTTTGTGTATGAAGCAGTAAGTTTAACCCCTAGATATTTTCTCTCTCTATCTCTCTCATATAAAAGGGAATTCTTATTGTATCTTTTCTTTCTCACTATTTGGAAGATTTACATTTAAGATCTCAGTTTTTGTTGGGGGTTGATTTTTAAATTTGATAATTCCCCATACTCCTTTAAGCTTTTTATTAAATTCGGGAGTGTTATCCTAGTATTTCCCACATAAAACAACAGGTCTTCTGCAAAAGCTGCCACTTTATGTTCAGTTTCCCCTATCTGTATTCCCTTTATGTCTACGTTCTTCCTAATTGTTTCCAGCAAGGGTTCCAATGATAACACATACAGCAATGGGGACAATGGACATCCCTGTCTTGTCCCATTTGACATCTCTATGGGCTCAGACTTTTCACCATTAACCAAAATAACCGCGGAGGGTGCTTTATACAACTTTCCTATCCACTCCCTCATTCTACCACCTACTCCCATGATCTCCAAGGTATCCATCATAAAGCTCCAGTTTACTCTATCGAAGGCCTTTTCAGCATCGATCGAGAGCACCACTGCCGGGGTTTTCCCCTTCTTAGCTTTCTGGATCGACAACATAGTTTCTAATTCCATTATCTCTACCCTCTCTCCCCGATACAAAACCAACCTGATCTCCCTGGATCCATTCTGGCATTAAATCTTTCATCCTATTTGCTAAGACCTTTGCATATAACTTCGTATCTATATTTAGAAGAGCAATTGGCCTATAACTGGAACATTGAGTAG